TCTACTGAGCACTTGTCAGTTTCACACGGTTTTATTTCTGATAGCAAGAAGTAGCTAGCCTAGGCTAGCGCTAGCTTAGCATTGCTATGGCTTCTCTCTCTCCCTCCCTTGACTCTTTTCCAACTCTTCCTTCTTCCTCTCCTCTCTCCTGCTCTCTGTGTCAGATGTTCAGTTATTCCTCTGCCTCCTTTAGTGATAATGGGATGTGTAATAAGTGTAGTATTTTTGTAGCTTTGGAGGCGAGGGTGTCAGAGTTAGAATCCAGGCTTCAGGCTGTTGAAGTAGGCCCCCCACGTAGCTGTCCTCCAAAAGTGCCTGAGCAGCCAGGCGATTGGGTAACTGTACGCAGAAAGCGTCGTCGTGGATCTCTGCCCACTGGTCACCACCAACCCGTTCACGTTTCTAACCGGTTTTCCCCACTCAGTGACACACCCACTGAGAAGCCCACTCTGGTGATTGGCAGCTCCATAGTCAGAAACGTGGCATTAGAGACACCAGGGACCATAGTCAAATGTTTGCCGGGGGCCAGAACGGGCGACATCAAATCCTACCTGAAACTACTGGCTAAGGATAAGGTTAAATACAGTAAGATTGTTATTCACGCTGGTGGTAATGACACCCGGTTACGCCGATCGGAGGTCACTAAAATTAGTGTTGCTTCGGTGTGTAAGTTTGCCAAAAAAATGTCGGACTCCGTAATTTTCTCTGGTCCCCTCCCTGATCTGACCAGTGATGACATGTTTAGCCGCATGTCGTCATTCAACCGCTGGTTGTCTAGGTGGTGCCCTGAAAACAACGTGGGCTACATTAATAATTGGCAATCCTTTTGGGGAAAGCCTGGTCTGATTCGGAGAGACGGCATCCATCCCACTTTGGATGGTGCAGCTCTTCTTTCTAGGAATCTGGCCACATTTATTAGTCCTCCAAAACCCTGACCACCCAGGGTGCAGACCAGGAAGCAGAGTTGTAGTTTAACACACATCTCTGCAGCTTCTCTACTGTTACCCACTCTTTACTCCATCCAGACAGTGTCTTGCCCACGACCAAAATCTAATAAATTAGCAAAGATTCCCAAAGGAGTAAATCATGATAATCTAATTAAAATCAAAATAACTCCAATTGGGGAAAAAGTTAAAACAATTAAATGCGGTCTGTTTAACATAAGATCGCTTTCCTCTAAAAGTCTACTAGTTAATGACTTGATTTGTGATAATCACATTGACTTGTTTTGCCTTACAGAAACCTGGCTGCAGCAAGAGGATTATGTGAGCATAAATGAGGCAACTCCTTCAAGCTATTTAAATTTTCACATCCCCAGAAGTTCTGGGCGAGGAGGAGGAGTAGCAACAATCTTCCAGTCTGACTTACTGATTACTCCCAAAACAATTAATACCTACAACTCTTTTGAACATTTAACCCTTAATTTCCCTGATCCAAATTTCAAGGCAAGAAAACCTCTTCTTTTTGTAACTTTGTATCGTCCACCAGGTCCTTACTCTGAATTTTTAGATGAGTTTTCAGAGTTCCTTTCTGATTTGGTATTAAATACTGACAGGGTCATCATAGTGGGAGATTTTAACATCCATGCTGACATTGAAGGCGATAGCTTAAGAGCAGCCTTTAATGCTATCTTAGACACTATTGGCTTTGTTCAAAATGTGAATAGTCCCACGCATTCTCATCTTCATACTTTGGATCTTGTGCTGACATACGGCATAGAATGTGAAGAAATAACAGTATTTCCTCACAACCCTGTCCTCTCTGACCACTTTCTAATAACCTTCAGGATTACTTTAACAGAGTTCTCCTCCCCCAAAAGAAGGTTCAATTTTAGTAGATCTTTATCAGATAGTGCAGTTATAAATTTTAAAGAATCTGCTTCACTTTCTCTCTGCTCTGTGTCACTGAGCAGTGCTGCAGAGTGCAAAAGCTTAGCTTATTCCCCTTCACAGGTTGATGATTTTGTTGATGGGGTTGCTAGTTCTCTGCGTATTGCCTTAGACAACGCAGCTCCTTTGAAAATGAAAACCGTTAAAAATAGAAAGCTTGCTCCTTGGTTTAATGCAGAGCTGCGTACTTTGAAGCAAAATGCTAGGAAACTGGAGAGAAAATATCGCTCCACAGGCCTGCGAGAGTCCTTCCTAGTCTGGAAAAATGGTTTACTGCTGTATAAGAGGACCCTTTGTAAAGCAAGAGCAGCATACTTCTCCTCATTAATAGAGGAGAATAAGAATAATCCTAGATTTCTTTTTAATACAGTTGCCAAACTCACCCAGAGCCATAGCTCTGTTGAACCGTCCATTCCACCTGCTCTTAGCAGCAATGATTTTATGGGATTCTTTATAAATAAGATTGATCTTATTAAAAATAAGATCATAAGCACTCCTCGATCCGCGATTGTACCTGAGGTAGTCATGGAATCTGAACCGGGTTTAGACTGCTTTGATCCAGTTGAACTCTCTGAATTAGCAAAATTATTGTCTTCATCTAAGCCTTCAACTTGTATGTTAGATCCAGTTCCAACCAGGTTATTTAAGGAGGTATTCCCTTTGATCTCCTCCTCCATTTTAGATGTGATTAATCTATCTCTGTTACAGGGATATGTACCTAAAGCTTTTAAGATTGCTGTAATTAAACCTCTGCTTAAGAAACCGTCTCTTGACCCAGATGACTTGGTCAATTATAGACCTATATCCAATCTTCCTTTCTTATCCAAAATTCTTGAGAAAGTAGTTGCCAAACAAGTTTGCGATCACTTCCACCATAATGAACTTTTTGAAGAGTTTCAGTCTGGCTTTAGAGCTCATCATAGCACTGAAACAGCTCTGGTGAAAGTCACTAATGATATTCTCATGGCCTCAGATAATGGACTTGTATCTGTGCTCGTCCTGTTGGATCTTAGTGCTGCATTTGATACAGTTGACCATAATATTCTTTTAGAAAGACTTGAATATTTTGTTGGAATTAAAGGAACAGCACTAGACTGGTTTAAATCTTATCTATCTGATCGAATTCAGTTTGTTCATGTTAATGATAGATCTTCAACACGCTCAAAGGTTACCTGTGGAGTACCACAGGGATCAGTGCTAGGACCAATTCTCTTTACTTTATACATGCTCCCAATTGGTAGAATTATTAGACAGCATGGGATTAATTTCCACTGTTATGCTGATGATACCCAGCTATATCTGTCTATAAATCCAGATGAAGCTAACCCATTACATAGATTACAGGCATGTCTTGAAGACATAAAAACCTGGATGACTCTTAACTTTCTGCTTCTGAATGCAGACAAAACAGAAGTTATAGTCTTTGGACCAGAGTCTCTGAAAAAGAAACTGATTAGCCAGTCACTTCATTTGGATGGGATTAAACTGATTTCAGATAATAAAGTAAAAAATCTTGGTGTTATTTTTGATCAGGACCTGTCATTTAAATCCCATATCAAAGAGGTTTCTAGAATTTCCTTCTTTCATCTGAGGAACATTGCAAAAATTAGAAATATCCTGTCCAGGGGTGATGCTGAGAAACTAGTCCATGCATTTGTTACTTCAAGGCTGGACTATTGTAATTCTTTACTATCAGGAAGTCCACAAACTGTAGTTAAAAGCCTTCAGCTGATCCAAAATGCTGCAGCCAGAGTTCTAATGAAAATGAAAAAGAGAGATCATATCTCTCCTATCCTGGCTTCTCTTCATTGGCTTCCTGTTAAATCAAGAATAGAATTTAAAATCCTCCTTCTCACATATAAAGCCTTAAATGGCCAAGCTCCATCTTATATCAGAGATCTGATTGTTCCTTATGTTCCTAACAGAGCACTTCGCTCTCAATCTGCAGGTTTACTAGTGGTTCCTAGAATTTCTAAAAGTAGAATGGGAGGCAGATCTTTTAGTTATCAGGCTCCTCTCCTGTGGAACCAACTACCAGTTTTAGTCCGTGAGGCAGACACCCTGTCTACTTTTAAGGCTAGGCTTAAAACTTTCATTTTTGATAAAGCTTATAGTTAGGGTGGCTCAGGTTATCCTGAGCTATCTCTATAGTTATGCTGCTATAGGCTTAGACTTTTGGAGGACATAGGGACCCCCATTTCATCATTCTGCTTCATTTTCTCTCTGTTCTCCTATTCTGCAGAATCTGTTAGTTCAATCTCTAACCTTCTGCTCTCTCTGCTTTTCCTCAGAGTAGCTTTGCCTCGTCTGTTCCTGTTTGGCTGTGACGTCATCCTGGAAAAAAACATCAGCTGTGCTGCTTCTATCAACACCCTTGTTAATAGATGTTGGAGATCGGCCTGTTTTCCAGTGTGGTCCTGTTTCTCTGACCGTGACTGAGTGGATGTGCTCTCTTCGTCCTCTGGCATGGGAGCTGCCTTGGAGCTCGTCTGCCTGGCTGTGTGTTTCCTGGACGGGGCCGCCTTTTACAGCTGCTTTTTGTATCTCTGCTTCTGTCTCCTTGAACCCCAGTCGGCCTCGGCAGATGGCCGCTCACACTGAGCCTGGTTCTGCTGGAGGTTTCTTCCTGTTAAAAGGGAGTTTTTCCTCTCCACTGTCGCTACAAGCATGCTTAGTGTGGGGGATTGTATTTGAGTCAATGAGTCAATGCAATCAACTGGTTTTCCTTAGATAGAAAACTTTGTATCAATTTGACTGTATGATCTGGTTGAACTGTAAAGTGCCTTGAGATGACATGTGTTGTGAATTTGGCGCTATATAAATAAACTGAATTGAATTGAATTGAAAGTGAGTGGACAGTGCCCTCTGCTGGCCGAACGTGAGAAGTGTATAAACAAACATGGCGGCGTCCATGCTGTCAGATCCAGGATTATTCTCAGCTCGCACCTTATTCTGCAAATGCAGGTAAACCAGGTTTAACAGAAGAAATAAACAGGTAAGATCCAGCTTTAGGTCGAAGGTGTTGTAAATAAGAAATATGCGAAGGTTTTAAAAGGTTAAACATTCAAACCTTTGTTGAACTCGTGGAACTGTGTCCTCTCCTGAAGGACCATGTCCAGGCTGGCGGTGGTTTGCGGAGGCTCCAGGGGGATTGGGGAGGCTGTGTCCCGCCTGCTGGCAGAGAGGGGCTGCAGGGTAGCGGTGGTCTCCAGGAACCAGGAGGCAGCTCAGGCTGCAGTGGCTTCACTACATGGAGGTGCTGTTGAATAATCAGAATGGACACTTTGATTCATTTACTTATTTGTGTAAATATTTGATCTTTTCGCGGGTCAGCAGTGAAGATATGAGACTAATAACATTGACTTTGATTGCACGTGCTCAGGGTCACACTCTGAGGCTGTTTTCTGTACATGGCTGCACAGGTTAAATGTTTCAGCCTCAGGAAATACTCTGCACACTGAATCAATCAGGTCAGCAGCTGTGTCCTCCAAAGAAGAGAGTTAGCTGGAAACACGCAGATTAAGGACATGGATTATTGGAAACACATCATGTGGTCTAACAGTCAAGCATGGTGGTGGGAGTATCATGTTTTTGGACTGCATGAGCACTTGTTGCACATGTGAGCTGCAGAAAGCAGAACATTGTCCCTTTTCTTTTGAAACTGGAGCACAGGTCAGTATTCCAACATGGTAACAACTCTAGACATTGATCCAAGACGACCAACACCCCGACCAGGCCAATAACGACACAATAATAGTTCCCATAAGCAACATGATCTGGGAGGCCCCATATGATAAAGGTTCAGGATACGGCGACAGTTCCATAAATCAACCATCAAGATACAATCATGCAATTGTCAGTATATGATCACACATGACACATGGAAAAATAGTGACTGCGCACCTTTGAATGGAACCATTGGTGACAGTGCACCACCACATGTTACAGACATCCCAATTTCCAAAAACTAATTTCAGGGAGATGCTTATCGATCATCCCGGTTCTGAAAGAACGTGTTTATTTTGGGAAGTCTTTTCCATTCTTCCAGCGGCTCTTCTTTACTTTTTCTTTTCTGGAATCCGCTTAAGTACCTCTTCTTGGTATTAATTGCCGCTAACATGTTCTACGCTCTGGGTTACCCATAATTCCAAGTCGTAGTGTAAAAAATAAAATACTCAGTTACATTGTTCTTTTAAGATCTTTATTGTGGTTTGAAACATATGAGTGTATTTTTTACCAACCCTCTAATGAACTATACAGTTATTAACATAGTAATTAAAAGTACCACTGTCTGCTTTCTGTTGGTGTTTAAACGGCTCACCATCATGTGGAAGTCTGGCATGTGCTGCGGTATAAATACGGTCCGGTGCTGACAGTCACTTCAGGATCAGGTGGGTTTAAGAGGAATTTTTCTAAGAGGGTAGGCCTGGGTAAAAAAAATCGATTTTGAATCGATTCCTTTACATTTTTGCTAAATCGATGTCTAGGGAATGAGATTGATTAGTTTTATAATGACGTTTACATTCAAATGAGCAGGAAAGATGCACTCAAGATGACTTCAAGTCTGACAGCTGCAACTATAGCCAATAGGTTGACTGAAGACATTAACAAATGTGGGCTGACCAGAAAACACCTTGTAGTTACAGACAACGCTGCAAATATGGTTTGTTCAGTGAAGATAGTGCAGCTCATGCATGTCTGCTGTGTCCCCACTGTGTCACGGCTGCTCGCTCGAGTGAGGCTTCACTTTTTCACTTTTCACAAACAAATTTGCACTTTTGAGACAGTTTTGTGCACATCTCAAGTTTAAACTGTCTGATTAACAAGTTTGAATTTTGTGTTTAAGGTGACAGGGGAAAAAATACAAAAGTATTTTGAAACACAGTTGAACCACTTTCATTACTGTAAAAACAGATTGAATCAAAATTAATCGATTTAGAACTCTAGGGATCAAAATCGAATTGATTCAAGACTTTGGTGAAAATATCCAGCCCTATAAGAGGGGTTGGGCCTGTAAGCAACTGCAGCCTCTGCTTACAGATATTCACGCCATTGGACCAAGCGTATCCAGACCTAAACACAAGTGAGCTCATCTGGGGCTTCCTTTTATGGAAGGTGGATATACTCCAGGGAGATTATTACTTTCCAGGACAACCTTAACAATGTTGGCCAAACAAAGTAACAACAACTTTAGGACCATAGGGGGGTTCTTACTGTTCTTTGGTTTAGAAATGAATGGCTATGTGTTCATTTTGAGTGGGCAGCAATTTTATTCGGTGTCATATCTTCTCAGCTGACCACCAGGCCTTCAGCTGTGACGTCTCCAAGGAGCAGCAGGTGCAGGAAACCTTTGAAAGAATCCAGAAGACGTGTGGAAACATCTCCTACCTTGTGAACTCTGCAGGCATCAACAGGTGGGCGACAGAAGGGAAACCCATCTAAATCAATAGAAAATACTAGAGAAGCTATTGTTCAAGTTTCAGGACATAAATGTTTCCCTTATAGAGCCTCTATTTGCAGACAGAGCAGTGGTTAAAGTCTAAAACTGAACAGAATGAGGTTTATGTCGGCACTTTAATAATATTACAACATTTCGGCTGTATCAGTATCTAATATATTATTGCTGTTAACAATGACATTTATATTTCCTTATACTTCATTAATAACAAATAACCTGACAAATAACTTTGATTGATACTGATGTTGATACCAGTATCTACCTATTATTGACTAACAACCATCATTAACCATCCAGGTACTGAGCAGATGTTTGGAGCCTTTTCCGTTAGGTCTACGTCAAGCAGCGTTCAGCTCTTATTAACAAGAAGATTAAATTTTATTGATATAGAACCTTTCACAGATTTTATCATGAAATGATTCACAAAAGGTACCAGAAATGGTACAAACAGTTCAAGTAAGGTAATAAATAGATGCTTCACTAATCTGGAATCATCTCCAAGAAGACTGAACAACAGCTGAAACCCTACGTTCCTGTAAATCAAGGATAAAAACCTATTTTTTTAACAAATAAACTCTACCAGAACTTTTACCAGAACTTTTACCAGAACTCAGGGATTTCCTGATCACACTAAGTTTGACATTGACACTCATCACTGTAACAAGAGATATAGATGTGGAAAAGGTTATGCTCGGTGGAGGAACAATGATGCTGCGGGTCTGTTTTGTCCCCAAAGGTGCTGGGAGCTCTTTTAAGGCTGATCACACCGGTTACAAGACTTTTAAATCTCAGATCTGATTTTTATTCCATGTTACACTGACTGAGTATAGAGAAGCTCAGATTAAGCAGGTTGGGCAGATCTGCACAAATTATTTTTGATTCTGTCTCTGTGCCACAAAAATGACAAGTTCCCACATTTGACTTGGACAGATTTTGAAAAGAAAAAAAAAAGACACCTGCACAGCTATAGCCTAAAGCAGAGTCACTGTCATTAGCAGACCAGGGTCCGGATCTGGACCCAACTGCTGGCTAATCCAGACCTGGCATGATATAAATTAGCAAATGAGCCGTCAGTCTGGGTTGCTGCTGCTGCTACTTTTAAAGACAGCAGGCAAACCTGTGGCAAGCCGGGCAATGGGAAAGAAGGAGACGATGAGAAAAAGAGAGCAGAGAAAGTGTGGACTGCTGGAAGAACCGCAGTGAACTGGGGACAGAAAAGTGAAATGGTGCTCAAAGTTGACCCTGCACATTTAGAGGATGTTTGGCTCAACCTGCTGCTGTGACGCAGGATTCTCCACCATGAACAGAATCAAAAATAAATATCTATCCAGGCTGAAAATGAGCACCTTGATATATGCTTGAGAATGGCTTTGTCTCCATTCAAACCCAGGTTTAAAATCCTTGCAGGGCAGCATAAAGCCCACTGCTCTCATTAAGCCAGAAAAAAGAACAAAAAAGTCAGTTCAGGTGTTTTATAAAATATGTGAATCAGGACACCGTCTACATTCCAAACTGAAAGATTGTTGTTCTCTACTTCATAAACACTTTAGATTTAAAAATGGAAAAATCTTTTTTTATTTAAAGACTCAATATATAACATGGATGCATAAACACCTCATTTCATTTCAGTGTTAAATTCTTTTTAAAGTAATGGATTATAATTAAAATTGTCTCCGGACCTTTACGGGTTAATTATTTTCTTTATTAGGTTCTGATTTGATCTGATTTTAAATGTGTAACCCCTGGCCTCCCAGAGAGAGATCGGTGAAGTTTATAGAAGTTTTGTTATTCTTTTTTCTTCATAAAGAGTGGAGAGTGATGCTGTTCGCTTACCTGCTGTCTGCCCCTCATTATTTAGTTTTTTGCAAGGCTCAAAGACTATGACTGTTTTGTTTTGTTCTGTAAACTCGTCTCTCATCCTATCAGACCTATGAAGTTACAGCTGAATTGCTGCGTACTCCAACTAAAGTAGACCTGGGGTTTATCTCAGTCGGAGCTACCAAGGCCGTCTTGCAGAAAATCATGGCGGGTGTGATCGTCCCCATTGACTCTTAAAGGAATAGTACACCCAAAACATTATTAGCCTTCATTTTCTACTCACCCCCATGCTGAACAACACTCTGGAGTACTTTTTTGATATCTCAAATGCATCTGGAGATCTGGGAGGCTTCTTGCTGTCTGCTGACATTCAAATAATGGAGGTCTATGGTGACCGAGACAGAAAGGTCCATAAAAGTCCACAAAAAACGTGTCAATATTCCTCCATACTGCTCGTCCAATGTATTCCAAGTGTCCTGAGTGGGTAGCGTCCATAATTTACTCGAAACGAAGTCATTTAGAATGTTTTTAGAGCATAAACAGTAGTGTATAGGATTTCCTAAAAGCGCGTTCACGACGCTACGGAAGCCGGCAGACCAAACCAGATGAAAGTGCGCATTCAGCGTCTGCTCTGCCGATAATGCAAGCGTAGAAGAAGAAATGTGCTGTTTACCTGTGCAAAGAAAGAAACAACGAAAGAAAAATGTCTGAGGACTTCAGTGTTGAGGAAGAGCATGAGTTCTTTGCCGAGCTGAATGCGCACTTTCATCTCGTTTGGTCTGCCGCGGTTTCTGTAGGCTCGTGAACACGCTTTTAGGAAATCCTATACACTACTGTTTATGCTCTAAAAACATTCTAAATGACTTTGTTTCGAGTAAATTATGGACGCTACCCACTCAGGACACTTGGAATACATTGGACGAGCAGTATGGAGGAATATTGACATGTTTTTTGTGGACTTTTATGAACCTTTCTGCCTCGGGCGCCATAGACCTCCATTATTTGAATGTCAGCAGACAGCAAGAAGCCTCCCAGATCTCCAGATGCATTTGAGATATCAAAAAAGTAATCCAGAGTGTTGTTCAGCATGGGGGTGAGTAGAAAATGAAGGCTAATCATGTTTTGGGTGTACTATTCCTTTAATGAACACACAATTTTCTATCAGATCAGATGCAAAATCAGATTTGGTGTGTAATGGCCTTTAGCCATCATGGCACCGTGGGTCAGCCCTCAGATCTAAAACCTTTAGAAAACTTGTGAGATGAGAGCACTGAACAAATTCCTCCTCACTCCACCCTAAAAGTTTTAGGAAAACTTCAAGTTCTGCCCTGTAAGGAAAACAAGTGGCCAATATTGTGTCTCTTTCTGTCTTCAGGGACGCTCTGCTGCTGAGGATGAGGCCTGAAGACATGGTGGCTGTGCTTCACACCAACCTGCTGGGCTCCATGCTGACCTGCAGGGCTGCTTTGCGCAGCATGCTGCGCACCCAGGGAGCAGCCATTGTTAATATAGGTACCGTCTGCTGTTAGCAGTTTAGACACCAGATGGCAGCAAAGTCCGATTGTTTACCCTTTAAATCACCTTAAAACAATAGTTTATAGAAAGGCAGGTTGCTGATCATTAATATCATAATGATAATAATTATAGTTTACAGATTTAAAGAGAGTAAGATTAGATAAAACCTCTAAAATGTGTTTTGGAAAGGAAGGATCATTGTTGTTGTGATGTCTCTGGTTCTGTAGGCTCTGTAGTGGGCCTGAAAGGGAACGCTGGCCAGTGCGCGTACAGCGCCAGTAAAGCTGGTTTAGAAGGCTTCACTCGCTCGCTCGCCAAAGAAGTCGCTTCCCGCAACATCAGGGTTAACCTGCTGGCTCCAGGTACATCACAGAAACACTCTCTATGCATGTTTTACCCTTTTCCTGTTCTCTGTCATCCCGTTCCTCCTTGCTCTTTAGGTTTCATCCACACCGACATGACGGCGGGCCTGAGGGAGGAGGCCAGAGCGCGCTCCATCCCTCTGGGGAGATTTGGCACGCCGGAGGAGATAGCCCAGGCCGCCCTCTTCCTGTTGGAGGCTTCCTACGTCACAGGACAGGTGCTGGTGGTCGACGGGGGACTGCAGCTGGCCATGTAGGGCGGGGGTGGCATCAGGCATGGACAGCGAGGACCTTATAGATGCCTTTAGATGGCCATCCTGCTGAGTCACCGAGCGCAGCCGCAGTGTGTGTGTGTTATGACTAACACTACTGACTCCAAGGTGTCTGGCCCCGTCCAGACCCCTGTGGCCCCCAGGGTCCTAAATTTAATCACCAGTTTTAACGCAGTGGCTCATTTTCCATGACTGTCAAACACTCGCCGCTGATTCCAGAGCTCATGTTTTGTTTTCCCCACCTCCCTCAGGAGACCCCCCCACCCCACCCAGCTCTGGTGGGGTCTGTCCGGGAACGGGGCCCATCGAGCTGCAGCTGGAGGAAATTAGAGGTGGGGGTGGTATTTTTAGACTGGGGGAATGTTTTTTTTTCTGCCTGGTTACAGATTCGGACCTGCAGTGTGGACGGATGTGATTGGAGGTGACTGTCATCATGTCCAGCGATAAGATCTGAAAAGCTGCTAAGCTTGTGTTTCCTATTTAAACAAGGTTAAAAAGTGCAGCAATGAATGAAGAAATGTGGCTGTCTTCTCTCTGCAGCTTTCTGAGCTATTTATAAAATACTTGCAGCACAAAAACTACTACTCTGCAACATTTAATATGTAATCCTTGTTAACTTTGATGTTTAATAGCATTTTAGGACATACTGTCAAAATGTAGTGCATGAAGAAAATGAAAGGAAAGTTGTTTTTTTCCTTTCTAAAATTTCGCTTCCTATTCACAGCAGTAACTTGGTGGAGAAACTTTACCATAATTAGAGCTGCAAGTTCTTTGTTGTTCATCTCAACCCAGTCTCATGGGAAAATGTACCCCCACTACGTTGGTCCACACTGCAAAACGTAGTGGAGGTACATTAATGGCCATTTTTTTGTGGTACTGTTACGTTTCTTCTGCCTATACGCTTTCTATTGTTTTACGTCCTAGTCACGTGACTTTCAAGATTCCAGCTGGGAGAAGAAAAAAATATATATAGATGGCCGACATTCGCTCATTTTTTTGTGGAAGGATTAATAACTTGAGTTTGTTTTTGCATTAAAATGAGTTTTGATTACATTTCAAGTGAGAAATGTATAGTTTGTTGCCAGAATATTTACTCAGGGAATGTACATATTCACTTGCTTGTTCGTTTCTTGCAAAAATTTTTCAAGATAATTCCCTGAGTAAATATTCTGGCAACGAACTATACATTTCTCACTAGAAATGTAATCAAAACTCATTTTAATGCAAAAACAAACTCAAGTTATTAATCCTTCAACAAAAAAATGAGCGAATGTCGGCCATCTATATATATTTTTTTCTTCTCCCAGCTGGAATCTTGAAAGTCACGTGACTAGGATGTAAAACAATAGAAAGCGTATAGGCAGAAGAAATGTAACAGTACCACAAAAAAATGGCCATTAATGTACCTCCACTACGTTTTGCAGTGTGGACCAACGTAGTGGGGGTACATTTTCCCATGAGACTGGGTTGTTCATCTCCACCACCTTTCGACATCTTTATTTCTGTTATTCTTTGTAAACAGATTAAATAGAGAACTTTTGCAAACATCAGTTTTTAAAGGTTTCCTGCTGATCTCTGAAGTATGGAAGCAAATTGTTACCATATTTCAAATGAAAAGGCATTTTCAGAAAAGCTTTTTCATTTTAAGAATGTGGCTGCATTGTTTGACTCATAAATGAAATTAGTAACCAATCATCTTATTTGCATTTTCTTCTTTAAGACTGCTCATTTTATGCCATTATCAAGGAGAAAACACAGCGGACATTGCTTTTTCATTTTCATGGTCTGCCAGCAAAGGACTGTCCATAACTCAAAAATGAAAAAGCATTCTGAGCAGCAGGTGCAGCAGAGTGGCGTCAGCAGCCGCTCTTCCTCAGGTCCTTGCTGACCGGGCTACCCATCTACGTTCGGTAGGGGGCGCTGATTATAGCAGGTGTCGTGCCAAGGTAGTTATCCCTGCGAAAATTAGTATCCCCTCGTCGGGAGCGCGCACAGAGTAGGAAGAACAAACTGAGTTAACTCCGCCTCAATTCCAACGTACTGAACGTGAAATGTGAAAGGTTTTACGTGTATGAAAGATGAGGTTTAGTTTTTTATTCTTTACTTCACATGTTATAGCAGAATATCCCCAGTGATACGGATTTAAAAATAATAATAAAAGACAAACATTTGCGTGAAAGCAGGTCGCTTACAGCAGTGTCTACTCTTCCCTCTGAAAGCAAACAGCTCCTTGTTCTTTTTCACACGTTATTTAAAAAATCTCTCATTGTTTCAGTGTCCAAATATTCTCATCCCATTGAAAACTGTTGTAAACCATATACTTGTAATAAAAATGAAATAGAAAATGGCGTGTATGTGTAATGATTAAAGACTAAATCCAGTTTTATATTAACTTACAATTTCTCTATGTTGTAGTATCCTTAAACAATCTATGTTCTAACATCAGGCGTGGAGGTGATAGATGTTTGTTTCTTAAAGTCACAAGGGGGGAACAGATTATAGCAGGTGGCCTGCTATAATCAGCGCCCCCTACCCAACAAGATGGGTAGCCCGGTCAGCAAGGACCTGAGGAAGAGCGGCTGCTGACGTCACTCTGCTGCGCCCACCGCTCAGAATGCTTTTTCATTTTCGAGTTATGGACAGTACTTTGCTGGCTGACCATGAAAACGAAAAAGCAATGTCCGCTGTGTTTCTCCTTGATTATGGCATAAAATGTGCAGTCTAAAAGAAGAAAATGCAAATAGGATGATTGATTAGTAATTTCATTTATGAGTCAAGCAATGCAGCCACATTCTTAAAATGAAAAAGCATTTCTGGAAATGCTTTTTCATTTTCAAATTTCACATTTCAAATTGAATTTTGGTATGTATTTGCTGGGGTACATTTTGAAAAATGAATCTTAAATGTCTTTTTCTTTATTATTTTAATTGACTAAAAGGATGAGCGGTGTTAAAGAATAAAATGAAAATGTAAACAGGATTATTAATCCGTGTATCATTCGTTCTTTCTATTTTCAATTGTCAATCAAAAAATAAAAAATTGACTGGTTATTTTGTTTTTTGTTTTTTATGGTTAAACCAAAAACGAAAAAAGGATTTGTTTTTCATATATCAATTCTAAGCTCAGATCAAGAATACGAAATGGAAAAACGCAGAATTTGATTTTAATATTTAATCGGTACAGTTTACGTGACCCGGAAATAGCTCTTTGCGAGGCAGTGGGGTGATGAAGTGGCTACCATGGCGACGCTAGAACGCTGTTTGTTGTTGCTAGTTAAAAGTACAGTGCACAGAAAAGTTTCAAGAAAAAAGTTATACCTGGAAAATCCTGCTGATTTTCTCCGTTGTCATGTCCTCCTCCTTAAGAGTCACACGCTTGGATCCTCGACCGTAACTGTCCATGGCTGATAGGTCCGACTGCCTTATCTGGTGCAGCTTGATCGAACGTGGTGGGGGTAAGCATAGATATCCATAATAAAGCCTTTATTATGGATATCTATGGGGGTAAGCCAATTGTTTTTTTTAGCTAAAGCTCCACCAAACTTCCGGGTCACGTAAACTGTACCGATTAAATATTAAAATCAAACTCTGCGTTGCTGTCCGTTTTTCCATTTCGTATTCTAGATCTGAGCTTAGAATTGATATATGAAAAACAAATCCTTTTTTCGTTTTTGGTTTAACCATAAAAAACAAAAAACAAAATAACCAGTCAATTTTTTATTTTTTGTTTTTTGATTGACAATTGAAAATAGAAAGAACGAATGATACACGGATCATTATTTATCCTCATATCATTCGTTCTTCAAATAAAAAACAAAAATTAAAAATGGAAAAAGGCACTAGTTTTTTATTTGTTTTCGAAACAAAATGAAAAAAACAGAAAAAGGGCTGCTATCTGTTTTCCCAGTTTGTGCATAAAATCGAAAATGGAAAAAACGAATAACCCTCATTGTCCTTTTAATTTTCTGATCTCAAGCAAGTTAAATGACCCGGATATGATCTGGTTTGATGTAAAGTTTGCTTGGAGACGCTGCAGGCACCTCCTAGCAACGCTCACCGTGAGCTGCCTCTGGCAACAAGCCCCGCCCAGAACCGCTTCTGGTATATTTTTATATTCAAACCAATCATGTGATTAATTCCCTGACCTTAGTTATGCTATTTACATTAAAACGATATGGTTAGCTTACTTGCGTTAGTAACTTCAGTACACTGCATCATAAGTTATTGCATATAAATTGATCAAAGTTAAAATGCAAAACATTTCAAAGCAAAGTGAGTCATGGAGGTAACATTTCCCTGGATGTAGGGTTGTTACAGGAGGGGGGCACTGATTCATACTTTGAGTTTCTTTATTTTTATATTTATTTGACCCTTTTCTGATTGTGTTGTGCTTTTTCCGTTTTGGTTCAATTGTGAATTTAGTTTTAATTATAAAGCACGTTTCATACATAAGTAGCACAATGAAATGTACATATTAAAATCAACAATATTTCAATAAAATGACAATGACATAATTTAAGAAGTTACATTATGGCTTTATATATGTATATAAATGTGTTTCATGTGTTTTGATATGAATGAGAACCGAAACACAAATAGTTACCTGACCTGAATCTAAGCATCTGTCAGAAGTCCATGAAGAAACTATTTGACAGATGTCAACAACGTGGCCATATTTTCCAGATCAGACGGTGATCAAATGCCCAACCAGCACATCCAAAAGTTCAGGTAGCAGCACATCATCAACTTTTGTGAGGTGATGAAAGAAAAGTTTTACTTCTTGCTAAAACATACTTTCTATGTGGAACATAATCTGCAGAAGTATTCTGCGTGCTGGCAATCCCTGCATATTAACAATCTGTCAATGATCTGCTTACAAAATTCTTTATTCGTCTTTCAATCTACATGTCCAATAGATGAGCACATGTTTGCAAACTTCTGCAGCAGCCTGGCCGGGTGAGAGGCACGCATTGAGTGGAACAACAGCCGCTGCCCGTAGTGTCATGCTGTGGATTTGGAGGCCAGCATCCATGAGCTGACTGGATTCTCTGAGGCCCTGCCTGCACTGGACAAGTTGTTGCTGCCTTAATGTTTGTCTGTTAGAGAGACAACCAATATTTTTTTTTCTTCTTACGGTCCAATATTAACTTTTTTTGTTGTTTTATAAATTCTAAAGAAATTTAGTTTTATGATTCAGCATCTAATATTCAAGCGTAAAGCACTTTTTTCATTCTTCCACATTAAAAGCTAAAAAAGCTTTCAGTAACACTTTTTGATCTGATACTTTTAAACAAGTATCATTTCTTCAGAGCAGTTACTTCGAGTAAATGTGGTTTTATAATTGTTACACATGTATTTTTGATACAATAAAATATGCCGTTTTTATCAAGCTTCTCATTTATTAGTATCCATTCAGCCATTACATTTATCTCACGTCTTTCAGTAACACTTATCAAGTAGAACAGTGCCTCCTGAAACAGGCTGTAGTCATTGTTAACAACTCCAAAAAGAGGAGATATGTCTGGAAACCTCTCTTCAAATAGCTGCTCAGCACGGCATCATTCTCCCTCTGGTGAAAATGGGTCAGAGCCAAAGGCAGATCCCCAAGTCAGGGAGGACACCAGCTCCTGCAAGTCAGGCAGCTCCTGTTCACACATCCATGGTGCTTCAGCAGCATCGGGCAACTGCTCTGCTGGAATTCTTGCTGGGCATCTCGCAACTGCAAGTTGATTTGGGATCCCTCTGCCTAAAATTGGTAAAGATTTTTTTCATTCCTGAACAAAACTGTCAGTTGTTATAAAATGATATACATACAAATATTACCACAA